GAGAGAGAGAGAGAGAGAGAGAGAGAGAGCAATATTCATACTAATTTGTACACACATGCTCCGCACATTCTAAAATCGCAAAAAATTCACAGTGAGTAGTGAGACGCGCGATTATTCTGGCGAAAGATTCGCCGCTAATGCGAACCACTAATGCGTGATTTTAATTAATCAGCAAAGCTAAAATCGAAAAAAAGGGACAAAAAATGAAAGGAGGAAACGGTTTGGCGTTTAATGGAGCGTAAAATTAAACACTTTACTTTTATTCTATCCTCGACAGTTTTCATTCGCGCTATATTCCAACCGCGGGAATTTATAGTGCGTTCACGTTCAGTCTGTGCGGTGAAGAACATTGTTACCTACGGTGAGATAACTTCTCTCCGTGAGAACGAATTTCTCCGCTGTGTTCGATGTTCCGGATATAAATTTCGCGAAATAGGTTCTGCTGTCTACAAGTGTCTTGATTTATACAGAGCTCCTTCTGCTGAAACTCTGTATTGTAATTGCAAAAGCCGCGGGAACGAAAGCGGAAGCAACGTTACGGGCGATTGTAAACGTCGAACGATCGGGAATATTAGCGGCTGTTAGTGACTTTAAAGGGAATCACCAGGTATGAACGTCATAATCTGGACATCACTGGTAAACATGAAAACGTTACGACTCGCGTCATAAAACTTTGATGACTCGCCGGCCAATAAAACGCGTAATTTGCTATAAAAATCCGGGAAATGGTGAATTCTGTAACGAGGAGATGTAAAAGTTGTACTGGGAATGAGAATATCGAATGTTTGAGGTAATGTACGAAACGCTAGAGGCCAAGTTAGACCATAGGTTGATCATTTCTTCTTCGATATTTCGTTCAGCGCGAAAACCTATTTTTTCAGAGAGCTAATTTGCGAAGAATTCCTCGATATGTAATGGTGGAAGGCACACTTCACACTTCTCCTTGTCGACGACCACCGTTCCAAAGTTCAGTCGCACCCTGAAGTCATTGATTTGAAATGTCAATGATCGTTGCTTACATCAACGAAAAAAATAACTTCTACAAGTTCGAGGTACGTGTTACTATATTATCGGCCGAAATTCTAGCTATTTAACTTTCCCTATTAACATTTCAATGATATTACTCTGTGCATGTCCCGCGGGAGTGCGCCATCCCGTTTTCTCTACGCGAGAGTATAACCCTGTATTCCCGCTATGGTAATTCCATGCGTGTTCCAATTAATACGAAGTATGTTACTCGTTGTCAGCTGGAATACAAACTGACCGAAGACGAGGAGTGCGCATGTGTACACCGGAGTTTTCGCGCCGCGAACATCGTAAAGGCCGACAGTCAGAATCGAACTATCACGCGTGTCGGTCCACGCTGCCCGCTCCAACGTCGAACAATGTTTTGGTGCCATTACTCGTCTTACTTCGTGCGTCTCGCTTTCCCCATATGGCATGAACTGCGTACGATCGTGTAACCGATATCAGTCAATGTGTCGCGAAGTAGCTCGTCGGAGCCGGAAGTGCGTGTAATGCGTGATCGCTCACGCGTCTGAAGCATGGCTATCATGCAATCCTGTTGCTGCTGGCGGTCAGTGAGGAGAGGTAGCTTCGCATGTGCTCTTTACACCGGGGTAAGTGTGTTCTACTACCCCTCTGTGTTCTCGTAACATTCGCCCTCGTATTACTTGCTCATTGCAAAGCCGCTGATCTGCGCTTTGTCAACGTAATATCTTTCAGAAGACAATACATTTGGAAGTTAAATATACGACGATATAAAAATATTCTCGTTTCGAAATGTTAGTACGCTGGAAAGGCCGAAATGTAAATGTTTGGCCATGTAACAATAGCATGAAATGTTGGCGCATGCGATAAAAGTATTTTTTTTTTTTTTTCACACCAGCGTGTGATGTTACGATATTAAGAAAATATAAATATCGGTGTATCGAAATGGAAAGAGGTTCGAAGATTTACGCTCTTATCGTGGCGATAAAAATATCTTTACATTCGCGGTAAGGGTTCATTGCGACAAATGATATATTTACGGTCGCTTATTACTTGAATTCATAAGCACATTCGGTCCAATCTAGAAACTTTTGAAATTGAAAGATTCAACGAAAATTCTTTCATATTTATTTAATATAAAATAATTTGACTAATTGGCAGTGGGAAAGAGGAGGCATTCAGTTAATTCCAGAGAAAGAAAACACCGTTTCTGTTTAAAAAGCAAATAAGCAAAAATGGCAAATTCGCAAAATTTGTTATCTCGCCGTGGAGGAAATAAAATTAAATGTAAACAACGGAAGAATTGCCGTGACGAGAGAGATTTCCGATATGTGTAAACCAAAATGTACATAAGTGCATCACGCTAGTAATGCGTAGTGAATTTATTGAACTGTTCTATATATTAATTGAGAGAAAAACGTATAAATGGGCATAAAACGCCCAAAATGTTTGTTGTGCAAGCTCTTTCCGT